GTTAGCACTTTCACAATCTATTCAAAATATCAGTGCTCTTTAAAATTTACTTATCTCTTTAAAGTCAGTCAGCCCTCGCGACAATATTTCCGCACATTTGTGTATTGTTTTTTTTTTTTTTGTTTAAATTTTATTGTAAAATAGGCAACTCATCTTTCCCGAATAAAATATTAAGCTTGAGTGAAATCTTTATTCTAATCGAAGACGACCGACCGTTCCGGGATAAAACTGGTATGAACTGTTTGAAATTGGTATTTTTTGGATTTGCAAATTTAATATTGTTATTCTTTAGAAAACCTTGTTGTTGTTTACCAAACTAAACCAATCTACTAAAAACTGATTTACGCGCAAATTTCAATGCGATTTGGTAAATGAGTCAAGCAAAGATATGTACATATATATGTATGTATGTATGTGTGCATGGCTGTGGGGACAATTAGAATAGACGCGTAATCAGTTTCTATGCAAAATAAAAAAAAAAAACATTCTAGTATATATACATACATACATACAGTCAGTATCAAATGTAAGTGTACACCTTGTGCTACTNTTTTTTTTTTTTTTGTTTAAATTTTATTGTAAAATAGGCAACTCATCTTTCCCGAATAAAATATTAAGCTTGAGTGAAATCTTTATTCTAATCGAAGACGAGCGACCGTTCCGGGATAAAACTGGTATGAACTGTTTGAAATTGGTATTTTTTGGATTTGCAAATTTAATATTGTTATTCTTTAGAAAACCTTGTTGTTGTTTACCAAACTAAACCAATCTACTAAAAACTGATTTACGCGCAAATTTCAATGGGATTTGGTAAATGAGTCAAGCAAAGATATGTACATATATATGTATGTATGTATGTATGCATGGCTGTGTGGACAATTAAAATAGACGCGTAATCAGTTTCTATGCAAAATAAAAAAAAAAAAACATTCTAGTATATATACATACATACATACAGTCAGTATCAAATGTAAGTGTACACCTTGTGCTACTATAATAATCACAGTTATTTTCATGAAACATTTTTTTTTTCATTCAGTTTTGTAGCCCGTTCAATTTTAGTGCAAGTTTCATGTCGCTAGAAAATTTCGTTGATTTTTTAGTTTTTTTTTTTTTTTTGTGGAGGGTATTGCCCCTTCTCTTCCATATAACGCGTGATCAATATCTATTCTAGCGACTTGAAACTTGCACTTTGTTTACTAAAATTGAACGAGCTACAAAACTGCATACTCGAATTTTTTTTAGAAAATCCTACATACAAATTTCGAAATTTTGATGAAAATTGTTTGAATTTTTGTGAACTTTATATAAAGTGTGAAACTTTGATTTATATGGTTTATGTAATTGAATGAACTATGTTTCCATAAATAAATAATGAAAAAAAAATTGTTCATGGAAATAATTGTGAATATTATATAAGAACAAGGTGTACACTTACATTTGACACTGACTGTACATATGCTGTTTACTTATAGAAAATATACTTACTTTCTATAGATAAGCACTAACATTTGCATTCAATAGCAATAGAACATTGGTATGGGTTGTGGCTGCAGTAATCAAACTTATATACGCACATACATACATACATACATATTTACATACATACGTATGTACTCATTATAAATCAATAAATATTCGTTTGGATGTGCATTCGGGTGATCCAAAAACAGTAAAGTCGGAACTGTAATGCTCGCATCCCCTAGGATTGTAGTATATCGAAAAAAGTATACCCCTATTTTTTTTTAAATGTTTAACTAAACATTGGGTATTATTATTGGGAATCTCCTGCAGATAAACAGAGTATTCCGATAGAAAAATATTGATTTTTAAGGGTTCTATACCATTTTTACGAAAAGTTGTTTTTCCCCATATAAAATACATGGAAGACTTTAGGCGCTTTGGGCGACCTCTAAATATTTTTTGATTTTAAAATATAAAAAATAGGGGTCTACTTTTTCGGTATAGAATAATCCCAGAGGGTGGGAGCATACAAAATCCGACTTTACTTTTTCCCCACATGCATTTTTGGACCACCCTAATGTGCATCCTTCTTCAAAGAAAAAAAAATAAAAATTCTACAAGTCGGAAGTAACAGCATTAAGAGTTTTCGCAAAGGCCAGTAAATGAGGAAATCGGTACATTTACATACTGTAAAGTTAATACTTATACATATATTGGTTTATACAATAAAGGCAAATGATTCAGTAAAATCTTGTTTTAATAGGATCGAAGCTGATATGTAGTATCACATGGCTAACGAATTGGGAATCTTATCAATTTTGAATTGCAAAACAATTGCCGAAGCTACTGGCTAGTACGAGGTTGAGCTGAAAAGATCCTTGAAGAAGCAATGAGATCAGTTAAATAATCATACTATATTAATTCTAAACATTTCTGATACTTCTAAGGCAATATAAGCAAGCCTTAAAAGTTAGATTTCGAGAAACATTAAAGTTTGTTCCACGCAAGGGTGCCACAACATTTTTTTTTTTAGAATTTAAAATAATTAAAATTTTTTGGATTTACAAGAACGAATAGGTAGGTAATTTTTTAAGCTGCTAAAGTTAGAAGGACGAGGATTCGAGGATGTTATCGAGTTTATATAAGTGCTTAACATATAATTTTTCAAAAACAAATATTGCGAAATTGCAAGGATACAATTTTAACAGGACATTTTCAATACTTACCAGTCCTTCTGCACCTAAAAACTTGAATCGGCTTAAATTCTACAGAATTTCCTCTTTAATTTGATACCCATACTTTTTCTGTAAGCACATTTCTCTGAATTTTTAAAATCAATTTTGAATTACCGACGTCAGAGCGCAAAACTAAAAACCCAAATTTACTATATTTGGCCCATGGTTTCGCGAATATATTGACATTTATGTTTAAAATTAAGAATCCCGGGATCTTCGGGTCCTTAAAAAAGCCGGGATCCCGGGCCTTCCTAGTACATACATATGTATATGTAAATGTAGTTAAGTGGTAGTCTATTAAAAAACAGTTCAATTCATCAATAGGCTCATTGGTATTAACTGATTTTGTCTGGTATTATTTACATAGCTCATACGTTGTCATATAGTATTTCAAATAATTCAGCCAATACTTAGTGATGCGCATACCTTGTAGGAATATTTTTTGAAATAAATGCGGTTGAAAACACTACCTTAACTAGCACTGAGACGCCTAGGCTAGTACGCCTATCATTACTGTCTCCGGTGTATAGAATCTCAAATTCTGTTAAATAAGAGTGATGCAGCATCACAACAACAACACTTTTAAAAGGTTTCTTTGTAATTTTTCATTGTTCGATAGCGAATCTAAGGGGTTTATTTGGTCGGAATGTCAGAATATACATATTTGGTAATAAGGCGCGTAGTTGGCTATACCCGGCAGGCAAAAACCGTTCATCGTTCATCAACTCAAAAAATCATGCTGAAAGCGAAATTGAGTAAACCAATATACTCGTTATTACTCGAATTATTTTCAACGTAATTGACTTTAATTTCTTTAATATAAATCTATTATAATTGTTTTTCGAGTTTTATTTTTTATTTATTGCTCAGAAAATAGTCGCTATTTTTATAGTTCTATTCATCCTTATTTTAATCCTAATCTTAAGCTTAGTCTTAATCTTAATCAAGCACCACCACCTCCCTTTTTCCGTAGATTTTTCGTTCCATTGGCGTTTTTATTTACACTCAAGCGAGCGCAAAAAAGTTTCAAAAAGCTATTGCAGAGATGAGAGGTAATACAGGTTGCGGGAAAGAAGATTTCATGTGGTGGAGGTTTTTCAGCGAAGGTGTGGACTTTATTCCAGGAAAAATTATTACAGATACATACTTAGATCCTTGGTCTGCGTTTTGCCTCATCTATTGTCTCATCTATTAAATTATTGATACATTTAGCTCGAATTTTTCCTGTTGGGTTCGTGAGAGTACATATACATATGTACATATAAACAGGTATATACTATATATATATGTATGTATGCATGTACCTTTGATCATATCGAGTAGTTTTTACACACATTTTTTGTTTGAACTCTGTTTTCCCCTACTTGCTGCGATCACCAAAGCCGGCAATGTGTGTTTGTGAGCTCCTAATATATAGGTATGTATGTATGTATATGTATATCGCACGCTAAATCAAAAATAGTCACAACTCAAAATGACCCAAACCATCAGGAGAGGAAAAAACTGTTGCTCAAGTGGCGCAATTAAAGAAGATAGTGATGAACAGGGTTAGGATTTTAAGGCGTTTGTCTATTTTGTCTGCGTGGTGGTATCTGTGAACAAATTAAAGAATCATGTCTTCCTTGCTTAAAAATTTAAATTTAAATTTAAAAAAATTTTTTTTTTTTAATTTTTCTAAATTTTTACGAAAGTTTTTGAATATTGTAAAAAGCTGGAAACTTGTTTTTACACGGGTTTTGTTAAAGAATGAAATATATATTTAAAAAAAAAAATTACCAAAGTTAAATAACAAAAAAATAAAATGTGACAATTAATTTTTAGCAAAAAAAAACGACTTAAAAAAATATATATATATATATATATTTCATGATCCAATGATCGGATCTAAGCCACATTAGTATGGGACCACCTCTGAGTGTCTCAGATGCAAATTATCGAAATCGGTTGACGTGGTCCAAAGTTATGCGGTAACATACATAAAAAAAAAAAATGAAAAAATATTCCGACGAACTGATAAACTCCTCCTTTTTTGGAAGTCGGTTTAAAATTAAAATATAAATGCCTTTTTTTGTCTTTTTTTCAAAGCTCATTTTGACGGAGGGTAGCAATGTGGTCTTTGAGCTGATTTATTATAAAAAATCAAATTTGAAAAATTTTGAGTTGTGACTGTTTTTGATTTAGGCTGTACATACTCTTTTGACTTCTACCAGCTTCAGGCAGCTGAGCATATGGGAAGCATTCCAACCCAATGTTGTGACCACAATCAGTTGATCAACGGTCGTTCCGCCGCAATGATTACGCTCTCCCACTGTTTAGTCGCTTCTCTCCACAAAAGTCATTCATTCATCTCATTGGTGGTGGCATTCCCTACAATGCTGCCGTAATTTTTAAACATTTCCCTATTGTCAGCGATCGTTTGCTTACATTTGTATGTATTTGCATACAGATCGCATTTTCGTCCGTCTCCCTAGCGTGTGTTGAGTTAGTTTAGTTTATTGTGAGCTAATCAGTACCGCCGGCGGCTACTAAGTCTCACTACATTGTTGTTACTTTTATTTTTTATTTTTTTTATTAAAGTGTGAGTGTTGCTGCGTCGTTCTCTGTGCTTTGTTAGACTTAAAGAAGAGAGGGGGAAAAAATACAGAAATACCGAAAGAAAAACATTTATTTCGAATTAATATTTGATTTTTCAAAACATTTACAAGTTCAGATTCGTTTGAGGCGTGCGCGTGAACGGACGTTGTTAATTCGTGTTTAAGTAATCGTTGTTAAATATAAAAAAAAAATAAAAATAAAAAATAAATAATCAAGAAAGTGTTGATGCAAACCTGTTGTAATAGAAAATTAGTGTGGCGTATTAAATTTTATATGTAAATATTTAAGTGCAAAAGGTGGGTGAATGAAGTGTATGGAAAAATTCTTTGGTTTTAACACGTTCTCTTGTTGGTGAAATTTTTTAATTAGAAAAGCAACAAAAAAATCGATAAAAATTGTTAAATAGTCAGCTGCATTTTAATCAAATTTAGAAGCCAATTTTCGAAAAATATTTTTCAAACAATATTATCAGCAAAAACCCATACAAATAATTACTACTATTTCAAATGCAATTCGTTCTTATCAATTCTTTATAAGTTTTTGTATGCACATATTTGAGCTCATTCTTCAGTTTTGTAAGATTTTCTGCTCGTCTGGCAGAATTTGACACTATAGCTTAATGAAATGACGAAACTGCATTATTACACTTTTTTAGATTTATCAGAGAATATATGTACATACATATGTATCAAGATATATTAGGGTGCCTCACCAAAAAAAAAGTAGCGGTTTTTCCACCAGAATCATAAAAGTTATTACATTCTAACACTTCACCAAAAATATTTCGGAGTAATACTAAAATTTACATTAGCTCTACCGATTTGAAAATACCTCCAAAAGTTTGAATATTCTTATTCCGTTGATAAAATTTGTAAATATTGCATAAGCAGACCTTCTAAGCTTAAACTTTGTAACAACAGACGGTGATTTATTTATAAAATTTTTTTTTTTTTTTATAAAAACTAAATTTTTTGGGAAAATTTCAGAAATTCCTCAAGACACATTAGATACGGCGCCTCACCAAAAAAAAAAGTAGCGGGTTTTCCACCAGAATCATAAAAGTTATTACATTCTAACACTTCACCAGAAATATTTCGGCGTAATACTAAGATTTACGTCAGCTGTACCGAATTGAAAATACCCCAAAAAACACTCAATATTTTGATTCCCTTGATACAATTGTTAAACATTGATTACGCAGGCCTTTTAATTTTAAGTTCATGTAACACCTGAGGTAATGAATTGCAAAAAAAAGTTAAAAAAAAATTGATTTTATTTATAAAAAACTCGATTTTTTGATGTATTTTCTAATGGGCCCAACTCACGCAAATCTTAATGTATTACCGAAATATTTTGGCGGAAGTCTTAAAATAAATATGTATAACAAATTTTATAATTCCGATGGAAAAACAATACCGGTTTTTATTTGTATGGAGAGTGATGCTCCCTAATATACGTATTCGCCGTTCTTTTTTTTTTTTGATTTTCTTATTGTTTGTCTGGACGCTATGATCCATTGAGAGGTTATCTTTATTGAGCTCGTGAGCTGCCGTCCATTGTATTGGCTATTTTTAGTTATCAAAAGTTGTTTGGAGTGCTAAATGGGGTAAATGTACATATGTACATATTGTATAAGTTCGTATGTACATATGTACATAAATGAAACCTAATTACTGTTTCAAGCAAAGGATGAAAAAAAACACACAAAAAAAATGGATTCAAAAGGAAACAAAAGTATTTACCATCGAAGTACAAGAATACTTGTCGAAAGTGCTGCAAAATATAGTTACTCAGAGAAAATGGTGATTTGTTTTAATTTTCACAATGTTTTTAAAGTTAACATTTTTCTGTAAATTTTTATAAAAATATTTGTTTCACATATTCATAAGTTTTGAGTACTTATTTATGTTTTTCAAAGTAATTTTTATAAAAAAATAAGTGTAGTTCATTCTAAAATAAAAATAAGTTGATAAGAATCAACGTTAATTTGCAGCCACTTGCACTGCATACCCAAAATGTTTTTAAGAATTCTGAACAAAAAGTGTACAATTTTGATGAAACAGTTATTTTTTTTTTGAACTTATATGGCTTTTGTTAAGAAATGAACTATGTTTTTATAAAAAGATAATATAAATAAATTTTTGAAAAAAATAAATAAATTGTCAAAACTCAACAATATGTGGGTGACCGACCCTATTTATTATTATTATATATTATTATGTTTATCACCACATACTTTTACAAAGTTTCAAAATTTAAAACAAAATTTCAAAAAAATGTAACGAATCTCGAACTTTCTAATAAGAATTTTTAGAAAACTTTCATTGATGCAGTTTCGTAGCCCATACGAATTTAGTATGTATAAGCAAAAATTGCATAAGTGTAAACATGAATTTATCACAGAAGAAAATGAGCACGACAACACAAAAAACAAAAAAAAAAAATCAACTTCAGTCCACCGAAAAAATTTTGAATAAAAATCAACGCGAATTCTTAACTGCTTTATAGTTACGGCAAGTAAAATATTTTTATAAAAAATCAACAAAAAATTTTAATTTGAAAAGCATTGTGAATATTAAAAAAAAAATATAACCCCGTTGAGTCACTGTGTTCTACCTTTGATATATATGTTACCGGACAAACCCGATTTTAGAACAAACTAGTTTTGCCCAGGCTAAACCAGTTAAGCCTAGGCTTAGCTATTAGTTACTAGTATGAATATTTACACTTCGTTTATCCTGGGCAAAACTAGTTTATCCTAAAATCGGGTGCGGCCGGTAATGTATACCTTAAGCCTTAACAGTTAAGGTGTTAAAAGACTGAAAAAATTAAAACCGAACACATCATTGCGAAACAAGACTATTTTTATGCTGTTGTTCGTTAAACAATATAACCTATCCCGATTACTTTAGGCTATTAAAAAGAACCGTTGTGCGAACAAAGTTATAATAGGGCTATTCGCGATTCGGTGCATAAGAGCTGACAAATTTATGCAATTGCAGAAATATGCCATGGATTGTGAGCGACCTTTATTAAACTGTCATGGCAAGGCTTTTGCAAAACAATTTTTGTACATCAGCTTTGGTTTTGTTTATGAATGCAATGCAATTTTTATGCTATGGATTTTCGGTATTGCAAATTTGCCAAGCCATGACAAATGCAAATGCGTGTATTTTGTTTGTGTATTGCAAATAATTTGCAATACAAATTTGCAATGCAATGATGCTAGGCCATTTGCACCGGATCGCGAATAGCCCTAATATCAATGTGCACAAGTGTGTTCGGTTATAATGACACTCATCGTACTCGTACTTTCAAATTTACAAACATTAAACGCCACTCTTCTAAGTTTATTATGCTAGTGAAATATTAAAACGATAATAGTTGAAGTAAAATGAAAATTCTATCTACAAGCATACGCATAAATATTTGTTAGAACTCGTCGAACCTGTTTTCAAAAAAGTAAACAAATTTTACGATTACGACCAGTCTGTGTAAGGTTTGAAGAGTGTATACATAGTACCTATAGTAGATATACATACACATGTGTGTACTTATGTACATACATAGTTTGCATATCTAATGAGGCAATACAAATTTCTATGTTCAAATGGCTTTTTATATGTAATTGTACAATAAAAATGTCTAGCGCCAATCAAGAAGAAAACAAAGAATACTATAAAAAAATATGTATCTAAAAGAAAGCAACAAAAAGTTGGTGAGAGTTTTATAGTGCCTTTGTGGAATGGAAAATAACAAGCTAATAAAATTCTGAAAATTAGATAAACTTGGCTTAAGATTCTTGCTCTCTGAAAATGGTACGATTTGTAATGTTCTTCGCCGGCATTTTTAAATGAAAATCTGAAGTTTAGATATGGGTTTTTCTCTGCAATAACGACACAACTCAAATTATAAAAATTTTTAGAAAAGCCTATTAACGTTTTTGAATTTTATAATTTAGTAATAGTTTGTCTTGGAAAGGCCGCTATGGCTGAGTGGCTAGAGGTGCGTAATACCACTCTGTAGGACCTAGGGTCCGAGAAACATTTAAATTAGAAAAAGTTTATCAAACAGCGGTCGCCGCAATTAGTAATTAACGGTAATTGATACAGTGAATTTGAAATTGAACGCGTTTGAAATTAAGCGACAAATTATTTAAATTTGTTTGCTTGAGCTGAAACCACCATTTTCAGTTAGTTATATTAAATTATTATTGGATTAAACCGTGAGATTAAGATGAAACGTCAATGTGTTGGAAATTAAATTTTGTTCAAGAAATGTTTTCTCACTTTTTGCGATTTTTTGCAAACCAACAAAGTTATTGAGCAAATATCATTTTGAAAACATTTCAGTTCCTAATTTTTGAAAGTTCTAACTGTCATAGCTTTTGACATAAACAAGATACAAAAAAAAAACAGTTTGGATACTACTTTGAGGAGATTTTCACAGGCTTTAATATCGAATATATATAATAACCACTGCAGTCAGAAAAAAAAGCTTTTGAAGTTTTTGAAACTTTTTAAGATCAAGAAAATTATTTTTGCAGTAAAGCTAAATTAATGTTATTTGCGATGTTTAGACGAAGATTTTTCGTCCAAAATTTTTAATGTAGGGTGGTTTTTAACGTAGTTGGAAACGCAATTCTACGAAAAATTTACGATCGAGATATCGTTCGAATCCTTCCATAGAGTATTTTCATTTTTAGCTCAAATCATTTGGTTATAATGACAGAATGGGAATTTGGAGAAAAATTGAATGGGGAGGCGTTTGGATTAAACCTTATCCAAGCGCATCGCGGCTTGTTTTTATACAGGTAAATCGTCGAAATTGTGTTTTCTTGTTTATCGCCGATTTTCTTGGCACATTTTTAAGGAACCAGTATTTTAAGCTGGCTTGTGAAAAATGTTACTGCGATAGTTTATTTGGATCAGAGTTTTGAGCCAACGAACGTTTTAATGCCCCTCACATTTGATCTTATTTTAGCGGTCAGATTAAATATATATTAATAACTTCAAGGCATCTCTTAAGTTTAGCAAGATGAGCAGCAATTAAATTTTAAGGGAAAAATACATCTGACTTCAATGCTCATATAAAAATTTAGGAATACCGTTAACTTCTTCATGACACAATGATCGCAACTGAACCAAATTAGTATTGGACCAACCTTGAGGTACCACCTTTCCGATAAAAAATAATAATTGAAAACGGTCCACGTCGGCCAAAGTTATCCGTTAACAAACAAAAAAAAATATTCCGTTGAATTGATAATCTTCATTCTGTTTTCAAGTCGGTTAAGAACAATAAATTTCCTAGTAAAATTTTATATTTTTATTAATCTTCTATCAAAAAGGCATCTTAAACTACACCTATAGCTAGTTAGTTGTTAAAATATTGTTTGCAAGACAACGAAATGTTGCTTTAAAAGAAAAATGGAACACATCGACTTAGGTTACTTTAATTGATAAGCGCAGATTTTATTCCTTGATTTACTATATTTGCATTTTTCAAAATTTTATACTTCGAGTTGTAATCCCCCGTTTCCAATAGTCACAGACTGCAGCTAAATCTTGGTGGAAATGAACTTCAACTTTAGAGTCGACTTTAGTTCGACTATGAATATGCCCAATGACTCGAAATGTCTGCAGCTGAATATTTTTTTTAGTTAAGAATTTCGACTGTTGTTATCTATTTTACATAACAAACTGTATTTATTCTACATTTTAATCTTTACTCATCTTTTTCTCTCTTTGCAGTGGTGTAAATATATTTTGATTGAAAGGCCGTCGAAAGCAATTACCGCTTATAAATCGAATTATTAAATTTTTTTGAATGAAAACAACATTCAGTCAAAAGTTTTGTCACTAATCTACAAATAGAAAATGGCATACTCAACAGCAGCCAAATCAGTCTTCATCTCGATAGCTGTGATAATAACAATATTTTGCAGTTTTATCGCATCAGGTAAGCAACAATTGGTGAAAATCGTATAAATATACTATCGCTGAATAGTGGTGACGCAAAGCATCGTTCAAATTACATCGTTTTTATTACTTACACAGGCACATGCACAAATAAGAAAATACAAAATAAACGTTGGAGTAGGCAAAACAGTCAGTCTCACACTAAAATTAGTAATTTTATTTATTTTGCAAGTACAGTGCGAATATATAGTATTTGATCTAAGTTGACACAATTTTCTAGTTGCAGCCACTTTTTATAAACCTTGTTTTGGTACTTACATATTTACTAACTGTCAACCGCATGGCTACATTTTATTGCATTCTAAATTGCAGTTGTAAAAAAGTGTTGCAGCAGTACTCCTCTACTCACGTGCAAAGATATGGTGAGGGTATTCACGATCTTAAAAAAAAAAAAATGAATTAAGGACTCTTTGCAGCGCTCAAATTTTCTTTAATCTGTTTGCAGATTGTCAAAATGATGTGTTTGATGTAAATTTGTTTTTGTTCTAATTCTTTGATTGTGCGTATGTTTGTTAGTGTAGCTCTGTGTTTTTCGGCTGCTGCTACCACCTTGTATGAATTCGCCTTGGTATGCATACCAAGAAAAATTACATCAAGAAAAATTACAGGAAAAGGAAAGTACCTTTTCAAGCAACAGAAAAAAAATGAAAAATAGTTGTGAATTTTCAACGCGACAACATTTTTTTAACAAGTTTTTGCTTGCAGCTACGCCCGTGGGGAGTACGATTTAATGTTATTATTTCACAAAAAAAAAAGNTGCATACCAAGAAAAATTACATCAAGAAAAATTACAGGAAAAGGAAAGTAAAAGAAAAAAAGTTATAACACCGAAAATAACTAATTTTATATAAAAATTGCTTATGGTATCGAGGCTTCAAAATGCGGATAATGTGTCTATTTGCAACTAAATTGGCGAATTAAGTATACAAAAAAAAAATAACATTTCGTAGCAATTTTTTTTATTTTTATTTATTTTTAAAAGTGGAAATTCTTTACAAAAATGCGTTTGAATAAGATTTTGTTTTTTATCTAAATTTTATTGGTAATTTTATTTAGCTTAAGCGTAATAAACAAATTTCCAATTTGGGAAAGGTGAAAATCTCACCAGTAAAAACGAAAGCAATTCCATTTCGCCAATGTTAATTTAAATTATTATAAAAATTTATTTAACATATTTCGTTTGTCAGCCATGTTTTAGTATTTCTTTAAATTGAATTTAACGTTCAAACAAAATATTTTCGAAAGAAAGAATTTTCCATATGTTTCGTTTAAATCCATACTGTTATATTTCATTTAGGTAACTGATTAAATTCAATTGAAGGGGTTGCCACTTTTTAAGATATTTTCGAAATAACCCATTTCTTAAATTTTTTTGTTTGAATTGACATCATTTTGTAATGTTTCTTATTATTAAATTTAATACGATTTTTAACAGGTGACAACACTCTTTAAAATGTTTTCCACCCAAAGCTTTTATAATGGTGATGATAAGTTCAAGTTCTTTAGCCAATATAATATAAAATACCAATGAAATTATTTTTTTCTAAACTTGAAATTTATATTATGGCGTAGGTTTAATTAACAAGAATCAGTTTCGGGTACCGAAATGGAAGTATTGAGTACCGAAATTTCCTAAACAGCTGGCGGGCCCCTATAAAAATATTTGTGAAACAAAGACTCATTAAAATTCTCTCCTTTTATAACCTTATCAAAAAGTTTCGATTAACTTTTGATTTAAATTGCTTTTAACTTTTTGAATAGCTGACAAACCTCCAAAAAGAATTTTCTCTAAATAAATCGGCTTTGAATTACACCTTCACTGGTGTGATATTTACGTTAGCTTATTATTTAATTGACTTTAAGTTTGTTAACGGTAACCGCCTTAAAAACAGTTTTCGAAATAAATTGATTTGGAACGCCTTTCATTTCACACCCCGATTGTTGTCATATTTTATATAACTGTTTAATTAATTGACTACCTTTAGAAAGAGACGGCGACTTCCTCAATAAATATGCTATGCATTTCGTCGGTGCTACTGTCACGTACGTTCTATGTCGCTTAATATCTCTGGTGCTTAATTGATCTGTTATCTGTATCTGATCGCTTCTGGCAATCGTTCATCTTCATCAGCCAAAAGTAAATATAGTTTTGTCATTCGTTTATTAGGGTGTAACGATTTGCACATGCATTACGGTGGAAGTAAGAGACCATCTAAGTGCCAAGGGTACTATAACAGACATAGACCGTTTTGCGACGATATGTTAATCCAGATTATAGCATATCTGTGTGCCAAATTTCATTGAAGTATGTCTAGACGTTTTAGCGTGAAAGAGCAACAAACATACTCACTCACTCACAAACTTTCACATTTATAATAATATTGGTATCAGTATATTGCTTTAGTATTATTAGTAGGGTGTATGTATGTGTGTACTTACTCATGCTTTGCTATTCCCTTAAAAATATTGTTAACGATATACAATTTAAGACATATGTACATATTACAGCACTTCACTAATCATTGTGAATCACCCAAACAATTTTACAATGGCGCCAACGTTAAGCAGCTAAATGAGATATCCATTCATTAATCATGTTTGTTTTATTTTGCTTCGACTTAAATATTTAAATTGCACTACTGCTTTTTAACTAGTTTTCGTCAGGTTCAAGTACACTTTACTAGCGGTTAATTATAAATAAATATTGAATTGCAAAAATCACTTACATATAGGCGGTCCTCTGCAATAATGACAAAATTCAAAATATAAAAATTCAAAAAAAAAAAAACTGTTACTAATCGATTTACAACCCTTACTTAAGTAAGCAGTAAGGATTTTCATGCGGCCGAGCGGCCATCTTGACCCTGTCCAATGGGTTCATAACCTCCTTGCAGGCTTTCGAGAAGTTTGCTGACACTCCTCAATGACAGCGAAGTACTTTTTTTCTATCCATGTAGGCTATAACCATTTGGCGGAATCAGTCGGTCTCCTTCGAGAGCGGTAGGAAGTACACACATACTTACATAAATCTTAATAGAGAGTTATGTAGCCACCCTGCAGGGAAACAGCGGATTAGTGAATCAAATTTCGATTTCCGTACTAGATCTGAACCAGTCCAATTGCAACTAGATCTCCCCCAGTTGAAAAGCAGCGAAATGTGGTACTTTAAAAAAACTGTTTTATTTAGTTTTTTTTTCATTAGAAATCTATATCTAAGGTGACGGTAAAGATAAAAAGTCCTGGACTAGTCCCGAACTGGCTTGAACTAATCCAGAATCAGAATTAGTCCCGAACTAACGCCGCAAAAGTATCGAACTAGTCCTAAAATGGACCCGGAATTATGCCGAAAATGTCACGAAACAGTCTCGAACTAAATAGTACATATGTACTATATCAACTAGCAGTGTTGCCAGAATAGCTGATTACTGATTTGTTTTCATTTGTACTCTTTCTGAAATCGTCTTGGCACGCGCGTGCAAAGTTGATTAGACATCAAAAATCTTTTTTTTTCAGAACTACAAATTTGGCTTTTACTTATTTAAATACAAATAGACAAGAGTGTCATCTAGGGTGTCAAATTATTGCTAAGAACCTAAGCACTAGGCCACACATAAGTAAAAAAAAAAAAATCGTCACAATCCAGAAGCTTAATTTAGGAGGAGAAAAATTATGAGCATACGCACCTAATTTTATAAATAAATACTTTACTATATGCAAAAAATAAAACGAGGAGAATATTTAGGTTTTTGTTTTCTTCGAAGCTTTTAACTAATTTCAAATTTTGCTTTGGCATTAAAAAAAAAAAATTTTGCTCTACACGTGCCTAGGTACATATATAAGTATATATCTTACATATAGTATGTATGTATGCACATGAGGGTGGAGCGGAAAAAACTAAATTTTGCGATTTCGAAATTCGAATAGTGCGGAAAAATTGGGTAACATGAGCCTATTGAACCGCTTTAAGCCGTTTTGCGATCGGATAATACACTTTTATACCTTTGTTTAAAAGATTTTCTAGAAAGAACTTAAGTATGCAGTTTTGCAGCCCATTAAATTTTAATAATCATTTTTCCCTAACAAAAAATAAACAAAAAAAAAATGAAAAAATCAATGCGATTTTTTAGCAACTTCAAACTTTTTCGTTAAATTTATTGGGCTACAAAACTGCATACCCAAAATCTGTCTAAAAAATATGTAAAAAAATATAATAATAAGCATGATGATGAGGAATTTTAAAAATTCTTCCTTGGGGCCAACGTAAATATTATCAGAATTTCGGAGTCGAACAATTTATTTGTTTGCTCCACCCTAATGCAAATACATACATACATATAAACATTAAAATGCTATCTACGTAGGCATTTCTACGTATTTCAGCCTATTTGTAGAAACGTGCTTTTATTTCATTTAAAATAAATTAATTTTATTTGTGCAAAAGAGTGTGCCGAAAACAAAAGCGTCAAACACGAATAAGCAGCTGTGTTGAGGCGCCGATGCGAAACGCTGTATAGTACAATAAACTATATGTACATATTGACACTTTGACCGTTATGGATGATTAGCTCTGTAAAATTGCCAGAAGGCAACAATAAGAAATACCAAAAATCAGAGGCATAAAAAAATCTTTAGAATACATATAATAAAAATAAAATTTAATTGAGATGAATAGTAGTTTATTATTCTAAATAATGAAAACGTATAAAAACAGTTTTAGCGCGCCTGAAAATATAAACATATACACATACATACATTCATATCGTTACCTATAGGTGAAAAGTTTCCAAGTCCATTTTTTTTGAAATTATTCGGGAGAGACGAAAAATGGATGTAATTTACAATTACCCGTTATTATGCATCTAAAACAAAATTTTGAAAAAAAGTGAACTTGGCCCCTTTTCTCATTTAGGTAGCGATATGTACCTACATATGTAAATTGCTGTTCGCGAAGTGATGATTTTTATCACTCACTGTGTGTAATTTTCTTTAATTTTCACTGCCCCTCTTTATAGAATGCAAAATGGCCCACTAACTGGCGCTGCTATAACCCTAAATACATACATATATCTGAACACGTGTATTTGATTCCCACAGTAATGCTAATTACTGAAAACAATCCTTTATTAAACAAAAGTCATCTAGCTTTTGAATGTCAACTCGAATTCATATCGAATAATTAAAATTAAAACAAAATGCTCTAGCACGCAATGTATAAATAAATAAATTGTACATTAGACTGAC